ATTAAAAAATTATATTTTTAAATATTTTTTATCCTTATCATTTTTGAAAGTTTTTTACTTTTTTGAATGACAACAGAGTTTTAATTTCATATTCCAAAGCAGAATATTTTTCTAAGTATTTTGATTCATAAAAATCGAATTTAGGACGAGTAGTTTATGAGTTATATGTATTTAAAGTTTTGACAAGCGGAGTAGTGGACAAACATTTTGCGGGGTAATCCCGTACCACTCCGCACTCTGCCAATCTAAACTTTAAATACTTATAACTCATAAACTACTAGCCTCAAATTCGATTTTTATGAATCAAAATACTTAGAAAACTGCTTTGGAATATGAAATTAGACTCTATGTTGTCATTCAAAAAAGTAAAAACTTAAAAAATTATTAGGATAAAAAATATTTAAAAATATAATGTTTTAATAAAAACGTTGGTTTTTTAACAATTTGAAACCATGTAAAAAAATATTTTGAAAAAAGTAAATACTTTTTTAAATAATGAGTGTTGTTTGATAAAAGAATCACTCTGTATATCAGGATACACGACACGAATGCGCATGCCCAGAACTGTACACGAAGCAAATACGCATGCTCAGAACTATACTCGACACAAATGCGCATGCCCAAAACTTATGGGCATGCGCATTTGTGTCGTGTATCGTGAAATTTTGAAGGTGGTGGGGATGATGTTAGGCGTCAGGCTTAGGCGTAATTCGGTCCTATAGCAATTATGCGCAAGACTATTCATATTCCATAGTATATGTTCTAAGGTATTAGTAGTGTTAATTATTAATAATATTCACGATTTTCCTTTTACGAAAATTTAGTTCAACCACGTGTTCCACGGCATCGCAGTGAGTTTGTAGCATTTTTCCAAAATAATAAAAATTACTGTTCAAAAAAGGTACCTAGTTTTTTTTAAGTTTAGTATAAAACGCGAGGTATGAGTTTTATTAGTCGTCAGACTATTTCAATTTAGATATTATGTTGTATTCACCGCTTTCTTTCGTCGTATTTTTATTTAAATGCACATGCGTTAGCTAAATTTTCATATGCATCTGACAGAGAGTTGTCATCTGCACATGCGTATTAGAATTATCAAAATGAAAAATTCGACGAAAGAAAGCGGCATTACTTATAGTATAAATCACTACTTTTTCCCAGGACAACGCCGGGTAATTCAGCTATCTATTTATATGTAAAAAATATACTGCTAGCATAATCAAGGATTTTGTATTAATTGATAATATTAAATTCAGAGGCGGACTGGGGTAAGAAATCGGCCCGGACGATCTTAGGTAGAGGCCCTAAAATTCCGCGAATATCATTATACAGTATAAGTTTCTTTATGACAACTTCCAATCACCAGTGTTGGGTAGTAACGTAACGWAAGTAACGCGTTACAGTAACGGCCTTACTTTGATTGTAACGCGTTAAGTAATTTCATTAGAATTATTTCCAAGTAACRAAAATGTAATGGAATTTACTTTTGATAAGTAATTTCTGTTGAATAACGCGTTACAGTTTCAAATTATTAAGTACCTACCTTTTGCGAATTGAAAAAAAAATATGTCTATAATGCAGGTATTATTATGTTTACCAATGCAGTATAGTGATATACTATATATATTTATTAAAGCTCCTTATACAGCTGATCTCACAATTTTGAATTCAATGACATTRGTAAAGAATATTTTTATTAAATACAACACAGCTTTACCATCCAGTGCTTCTGTAGAGTGATTATTTTGTGTTTCAGGGGACATTTGATCTAAAAAAAGGTCGCTTATGAGTTACAAAAACTTTGAAGATACACTATTGTGTAAAGTTAATTTAAATCATAAATAAATATAAAATAATAATATTGTATTATATTAATTGTAGTATATTGATTTCTTTTTCAAATTATATCTATTTACTATAGGWAATGTATTTCTAATAACATTATTGAGAGGCATAATGATAATATTGTTATGAAATATAAAAAAAAATATTTTTTTTTACGAAATGAGAAAGTAATGAGTTACTTTTCAATTTTAAAAGTAAAGTAATTTCATTACAATTTTATTAGAGTAACGAATAAAGTAACTATTACATTTCTCTCTAAGTAACGAGTAAAGTAACTTTATTACATTTCTCTTTAAGTAACGAATAAAGTAACTTTATTACATTTCTCTCTAAGTAACGAGTAAAGTAACTTTATTACTTTTTAAAAGTAATTTACTCAACACTGCCAATCACCATTCACAACCACTAATCATTACACTGTTGTACAMATGAGCCCAATATACCTGTGAGGGCCCGCAATCATACCACATAGGGGGTGTCCATTGTTAGTAAAATTAAGTAAAAATGACAAACTTGATATAACTTTAATACTTGCGTACAAACAGCACGAGGTCCGCGATCTACCACAGGTAGATTGCCTTCCTGATAGTATTATACTTCCGCGAATCAGAATTTTTATTCCATCCAGGTAACGGAAAAGTTAAGATAAGTTTTGAACACTATACACCGATTATTAAATAAAAAATTGAACAAAGCTTGAGTCATATAGATTTAGTGCATTTAATGGGCAATGAAGTTCACGGGATCAGCTTGTATTTTTATTTATTACATAGAGTAGACTATATATGTAAATAGCTGGAAATATGAAGTAGGGACATTGGACCCCTTTTTTTTTACACCATCTAGTTTTGTATAAGTACTTGTTGCTCTAATAGAAAATTGTATAAAATATACTCATAATATGGCTCTTGAAAAACTTTTTGGTTTTTGGTCCTTGATATTAAAAAGATTTCTGACCCCTGATCTGCAATAATTTCAATTCAGTTATAAATATTAATGTACTTTTAATGCATAGAAAACTAATACAATCTATTTTTTTATATACAGGTGTCTCAGAAAGATCTGACAAAAATGTATGCTAATTAAATGCAAGACAAAAATTGTTAATATTATTATGATAAGTAAATAATTTAAAAAATATTATACTCATATTAGCAAATTCTCAAAAATCATATTTAAAAAGAAGTTATTATGCTCTAAATTAATTTATTCAAAAAAATATTGAATTTTGAAAAATAAACTACTTGACTTAGATAAATCTTTTTACCATTGAAATTGTTCTTATAATTAGATTTACAAATAGGCTTTTTTGAATTTATCCAAAAAAAAAATGTATACATTTTTATGTTTTTATTTTCAGTATTAAAAATTTAGTGCAGGTGTCTATGATTTATGTATATATATAAAACATTTTTAATATTGAGAACAACAAAAGTTATTCCATATGTCAGATCATCATGAGACACCCTGACAAACCATTAGTTAATTCATTTTTTTTTTGATTGTGGTGTCCCTCTATACAAACTTAAAAGAAGGAAGTTGTGAAAATCATTAAATAATCTAGGTTGGTCGTTGTGAATCTATCTAGTAACCTTTAATAAAGATTGACTATAATTTCATTGGATGAGCTTTCAAATGTTTGTCATTCGTTACTGCAAGATTTTTATCAAGTTAGGTTATCTTGTTACTACAGTTTAAATTTATCATGAGTCTATCATAAAATTAAACCAATGTTTCTACTCACTTAGACTCATTCTCAGCAAGTCCTCAAAATAAAAATTCTCATCAATAATCTTCTAAAACCCATCTGGCTGTACTGTATACAGCTCTGGGGCACTGCCAAAATATCAAATAAGAGAAAAATTCAAGTATTCCAATCAAAAATCCTAAGACTCATAACTAATGCTCTTCCTTATGTCTCAAATCGTCCTCTTTATACAATTCTTCACATTCCTAAAGTCAGTGAAACAACCAAGTTGTACTACTTAAAATTTAGAAATTACCTTCAAAATTACGCTAACCCCCCTGTCAATAATTTACTATCAATTTCCATCCCCGGAAACCCTCCCAGAAGACTCAATTGACAATGTACCCGTGACCTAAATAAACAAACATGAATATCTAAATAATTGTTAATTCACGTCAATGTACCTTCGCTTGTTGGTTTTTCACTAAAGCCACTGCATTTAAAGTTAAAATCCATTATGCTTATTTAAAATTTTTTGTTTGTATAGATTGTATAAATTATAGTTTAAAAAAAAAAAAATTATGATTCTAAAAAGGTTAAAAGTTGCCACACATTGCAGCGGTGGTGGTAAAATTCTTTTGTCTTGGCGGTGGCGGTAAAATTGAGTCCGGCTTCATTTTGCCRTAACCGCCACCACCACAACTACCGCTGCAGTGTGTGGTGACCGAGGTGGCGATCTTAATGTTCTATTTTAAAGATAATAATATATATTTATTTTTAACCATGTGATAGTTACAACTACCTATATATTTTATTTATTCAATAATAAACTATTTATTTATTGTATTATTATTTTATTTTTTTAGTGACTATGATGACCAACCATGATGAAGGTTATAGAAATATGCTGGCTAGCTTCCGGACCAATGACTTGCAAGCACTATTGGGAGCTTTCGGTCGAAATAAAGCAGGACGAAAATCTGAATTAAAAGATCGGGCACTTGAATTGTTAAGAACTAGACCAACTGGCTTTAACCATGCAGCATATGTAGCAAAAATATATGAAATTTATCGTTCCATGCAATCAGATTTGCCTCATAATAATGATATTATGATGCGTAGTTTATTATCAACCCAACAAAGGCAAATGATGAACATGGGGCAGATACAGAACCCACAACAAAGAATGTACCAACCGCCACAATATCCTCAACAGTCAATGCATATGACCAGAGCTGGATTACCACAGGTTATGCCTCAAATTCAAAGAAGCATTTATGGTAATCCCGTTGGAGCAAATACTATGGCTAACAATAACATTCAATATATATCTGGTAGTTATCAGCCTTCTGGATCTCGTTCTATAGCATCATCACATTTATCCTCAAATCAACAAATGAATGCTGTGTCACAAGATGGATTGGGGTATGATAATATGAAAGGACCATCAGGTGGAAACAATCTATACATTCCATCTCCTGAAATTGTAGCCCAAATCAAGTTCAAAAAGTTGCCATTCTATGAGATTATTAGCGAGATCATTAAGCCAACTTTCCTAGCTGGTACTGACAGATGTACATTACAAAACTTTCCTAGAGGTAACAGTATATTATTTGTCTTTTTAATTAAATTATTTTTGAATTGATAATTGCAAAAATGTCTAAAGTCGATTGTTTTAATTTGAATAGTTGATAAAAACTGTATAATATAAATAATTTTGAAAACCAAATTAATTTAAGAATAAATACTTATTAAAACAGAATATATTCTAACTATACATAATTTTTGTGTTAAAAAAAAATAATTTGTGCTTATTATTAATTTTMAAAACATTATGACTTCTATATAACTTCTAGTAAATTATTATTTTTTATAGTTCGCCAATTCAAAATTTCATTCCAAAATGAAATTGATTATATATTTTGGAAGATCCTCAATGTAAGATTTAATTGGTATACTTCTTACCTTCAATTCTAGCAGTTTTAATTACATTTCTTACATATTAATCTGATTCATTTCTGATACCTCTCTTACGAACTGATGTTCATTGACGAACATTTATTTCCCATTGTCAAAATAAAATTAWATCACTTAAAAAATAATTTACTTGAAATATTGCTGTGTAACAAACAAGTAAATTATTGGTAAACTGAAATATGTATAGAATATTTTTTTTAGTGCCATAATAATACTTAGTATCCCGTGAGGACATACCCATTAGCCATAGAGGGAGATTTGTGCTCGCGTAAAAACCAGTTTTTGCCGTTTTATCTATAAACTAAAATAATTATTAAATATCATGTGATTAAATAAAATAAAATGTTGAAAAGTCAAAATTTTTAACAAAATAAACTATATAAAATGTATCTTTATTTTTTTTTAAATTAAAAAATGATTTTTTTTAAAACTTTTACCAAGAAATAAAATACATGTAGCCCTTGTCTATGTGAGTCTAATAAAAAGTGTAAATCAGATTTATGATATATTGATTATCTCAAATGATATTGCAATGAGTAAATCCTCGTGAACACCTTGTATACCTAATTACTAGGGCTCGGAAGTTGATGACCTTAAAAACAATAAAAAAAATATGGCAAAATTGACCTAAAAAAATTTCAAATATTAATTTTAAATTACCTAATAAAAATACATTTTTTAAATGTTTTATTTTATTTTACTTTAAAATTCTATATAAATTTATCAAAGCTTCGAATTACTCAAAATATGACAAAAATGTCCTTAAAAATGAATTAAAAAAATTACGTTATATTTTTTTTATAAATTTATCAAAGCTTACAAATTACGATAAGAACTGAACTAGTGTGATATCAGTAAAAAGTAATAAACGCCAAAAAATGTAAAATAGAAATTAGTTATTCAGATTCATATGCTAATGAAACAGATTTGTGGCTAGGAGTGCATTGTCTAAAACGTTCCAAAAAAAAAAAAAAAATGCAATCTGCATCATTTTCAGAGCCCCTACTAATTACCTATACTACATTCAGATTATATTACATTATTTTTTGAATCCGATTGATTGATTTGTTAATAATATACAATAGGCATTTACCTTCAAATTATGTCTTGAAAATCAAATCAAATATGAGTATATAAATCAGAAGATATCATTGAGTGTAAAATCAACACAAGTYATTGACTAAAGATGTTTTATCTCTCAACCAGATTTTTTGGTTATAATCTTATAGATAAAATAAGTAAATGTAAAAACGATTTTACGCTCAATGCATAGAAATACATGATTAGTATATATTTTTTCTATTGTCTCAATTTCATAAAATATGTAACTCCTGACGTTTCATATATGAACAATTCTTTCATGATAGATATTTATTTTATTTCAGGTATGAAAGAATCATCATTCAAATTTTTTTTAGCTACTGATGACGTCAATCTTGTTACCATGAATCGTGATATTAGCCCAGGAAAAAATGAGTATATTTATCAGTTCCAGATTCGAATTAGTCAGTTAGTGGAACCTATAAGTAATGAAGTAACAGATTTTATGCCTCTTGGATTACACATTCGAGTTGGTATAAAAGCATGTCCATTGCCACCTACTGCTCCTAATACTCGTCCAGGAGCTGAATCCAGACGAACGCCAAGACCTATCAATTGCACACAACTTATGAAACTTGCTCCAATCGTTCCCAACTCAATTTATGTAAATTGGACTCCTGATGGAAAAAACTATATTATGTGTTTGAATCTTGTAAAAAAATTAACTTCAGAAACGTTGATAAAAAGACTTCAAGATAAAGGAGGTAGGAGTTCAGAAGAGACCAAAAACTATATAATTAAAAAGTTGGCAGATGTTGATCCAGATTTGGCCACTACATCTTATCGATTTTCTTTGGTGTGTCCATTGGGTAAAATGAGAATGAAGATACCGGCAAAATCTATCCATTGTGATCATTTACAATGTTTTGATGTTAGTACATTTATTTTAATGAATGAAAAAAAGCCAACATGGATGTGCCCAACATGTAATAAACCTTGTTTGTATGATGACATCCAAATAGAAAATTATTTTTTGGAAGTAGTTTCAAGTCCAACACTTAAGGACTGCAGTAAGGAAATTGAAATTTTGGCTGATGGCACATGGATAGTTTATGAAGAAACTAAAGAGACAAAAGCTTCAAATAGTACTCCTGATAAAAAATTAAAACCTATTGATTCTGTGGATTTAGATAGTGAYGATGAAAAATCTGATGATCAAAAAGCAGAACTTAACCCTGTAAYTGCTAAAAGCCAAGAATCCGAAAACTTAAACTTTGTTGATTTGACATTAAGTGACGATGAAGTAGAACCACCAAAAGAAAAAGATAAACAGGAAAATGAGGCACAAGCTGCTGATGCTATACAACCAATTGCTGTAGTTGATTTGAAACCACAAGCTCAAGTACAGCCGCAACAAGCTGTAACTAGTTCTGAGCAAGGAGTAGTAATTGAAATAGACAGTCCATCCCCTCCTTCAAGTCCTATCCCTACAACAGAAGCCTCATAATTTTTTTTRTCTTTCTATATTTTTTTTTATCATTATGTAAGTTAAACAATTTTAAGATTATAAACTTTTAACATTTTTCTGATGTATAAGTTCTACGCATATGACATACAAACATAACGTAAAATTATAACGTAAGAATTCTTAAGATGTTACATTTCTTAAATATTAATATAATAAAATCCATTTTTTCTTACATATTATTTTAAGTAAATTGAAATTTAATCTAGTGAAATCACACTTTCTTTGACATACTACCTATATCGGTAGTCTAAAACAAATTACTGACAGAACATAAATTTATATGTCAAAGGTTTGAGGGCAAAACACCTTTTTTAATTTAATTTTTTACTTATCTTAATATTAATACTAAATCTAAAATAAACAAAATAGATAAGGAAAACATTTATTAATTTTTATTTAAAAAAAAATATTTGAAGAACTAATTGTTTATATTTGAGACCACTGACTTAAGTAATGTTTAGCCAAGCAGGATGTATACTCGTTGACAAAGTAGAATCTACTGGCCAGCGACCTGTTACTGTCTGGTGGTGCAAATCTTACACATAATWATTTTTAAGTAATTATTCTTTTCAATTAAAGAAGTTTTATTATATAATTTTTTTTTATTGGGGTACTAGCACTCGCAGAGTAAGCTATCCTAACTTGTTTATTTAATCAACCTTTTAAGTTTTAATATGCAAAACCATAATTATTTTAAACCAAAATATTCGCAAAATTCAATCAAGATCCACACGTCATCACTTCTCTCAATCTTCAATTTCATCAAGATCTCATAACTGATTGGTAAAAAAATAGCATATAAAAGTTAACTAATCCAAATAACTTAATAAAACAATACATTTACTCTTTGCCTTCCTCCTTGTTTTATGGTGTCTCTAGAAATATTAAAATCTTCACCTCTCAATTGGCTAAATACTTAGGTCTAACCTATTAACAGTATTAACAGTCCCCTTTCACCATGGTGTCTCACCACATTGTCCACATTAAAATCAAAAGGCTTTCATCAATTTATACTACTTAACTTGAATGAGTCCAGTTCAAGACTCAATTGCCGACAGGACAGATAGTAATACCATTGATTATAAATAGTAGTAATACTATTTATAATCAATGCTAATACTAATATACTATAGTCTTGTTGCGCAGAAGCAAAATATTTAAGATAAGATGCCTACATACAGGCGTTATTATATTCTGTAAAACAAGCATCTCTATWGTCTTTATAGTGGTGGCCGGTGGGCATATAACACAACTCCTGAAACTCTCCATAGAAGACTCAAAAGAAATTAGTGCCGAGATTTTCTCAATRATTAATCTAAAGAATAATTTACATTAAAAAAAACAAGTTGGTCAGGGTAGTGTTACTACTGAATTACTCCTCTCTGCTCTCATCATAATGCAATAATGTAAAAAACTATCATTTATCRCATATTCTTAAAAGGAACATATTGCATATATTGTGTACAAAAATTAAAATAACTTTTTATGTCTAAGCTGTATGGCTGTATTTAATTTATTTTCTATTATTTATTAATTGCATGATATAATTATAAGGTGTGAGTACTGAGTAGTTATGTATTTAGACCAAACCTGGTGAATAGGATTATTGAATTTTTAATCAGAAAAATGAAACTTGTATCTATTGAAATAATAATGACATTATAATAGGTAAATTACTTTATAAGTTATAACTAAAGTCTATAACAATAATATAACAAAAACTAGGTGCGTGTTTATATTCACAGGTTTTTTTTATGGTCTTTTTTTCTGTCTATCTTTAAATTTATATCATTTATATAGGTCAATCAGGAAATCGTGAATATTCCCGATGGTGTGGCTCTTAAGTGGGCYACATTAACATAGTTATATAATTTAAAAAAAAGTAATTTTTTATAAAATACGTATATAAATAKTATTACAATGTTTTGATATCAATATATTATAATATGAATACATGTAAATTAATAAATATTAATTCAATAATAAGCACAACAAATTTGCAGTTGGTTGAAAAAGAGAATCATATTAAAATCATACCCTAAACATCCGGAGACGCTAGCACTCGCTCTCGAGACGGCCATAAGACTTTAATTTTGTCAACACAACAGAACTGCGTCAACTGATTTAAATGATTAGAACTTAAGGTAGGTAACAACTAACTAATGTACATCTGTTCATATGCAGTAAATATAATTTTAAATAATAATAAGTAAATATTGAGAGGACGCTACACCCGCATGTGTTGTCTCCGTCTTACACGTGTACTATATAGCAAATTTTCGTTCGCGAGATTCAATAATAGTGTGCTGATAGTTTTGATATTAGAGTGATTTGACAAACTTTTAGGTAGGATCATTATCTGTGTTCTCATGTTGGTTTTTTACGATATTTTAATTTTTAAATGAATTATAAGCATGTTAAGTGTAAATATTTTAAAATTCACATAACCTGAATCCCATAAATGTGATGTTACTCTTTGTAGTTCTTCAGTATCTAAATGAGATATTTTTTTTGGAAGTAAAGACGATAAAACTATTTCTATTGGAACAGTATTTTTTTCAAATCTTTGRTTGAAATCTATAATTATGGGATAAACGTATTTTTTCTATAATAATCTTCAACTGGTATCAGATGAGATGTTGGACCTACAAGTTTGTTTCCTTGGCATACAAGGAACAATATAATTTTTTTCTGAAATGTCTAGAATGGTTTTCCAAATCCTACCTATTAAATGTAATATTTGCTTGGCATCTTTCATTCTGTATAATTTGTTTAGTATTATTAATAAATTCAGTGGCGGTGTTCACATTCAAACTTTGTTTTTGGAGTGCTTTACTTAGGGAATGTGTTATTGTAAAAATTAAATTAATAATTTTTACAGAGACGATAAAGTTAGTAGTAGTTAAGCAACGAATAAAGCAATGTGATTTTGAAGAAGAAGTCACATCATCCGATCATCCCATGTACTTATACATTCTAAAGCCTGTAGTATTTGTAATAAATTATCATTAAAAAACATTAAAGATTCGTGTCGTTCTACCCATCTTGTATCACATAAGACACTCAACTCGGAACCTAATTTTTGCTTGAGAACAAAATTTCTTTTGGCTGAACTATGGACAAAAGCAATTATTTCTTTAATTGTACTAAAGCAGTTTCTAACACTTGGAATATTTGCTGACTTAGATAATACCAAATTTAATGCATATAAATATATAAAAACTAGCTGACCCGGCAATGCTTCGCTATTGCAAGATTTCTCAGATATTAAATTGCTATTTATTTTGTGGATGTTTCTGGATGTCTTTTTATTCTAGAACACTTTTAGTCACGTCTTCGTGGTAATGTAGGCATGTAGCCATATAAATTTAGCGTCGCCACCGCGGATTCTTATTCATAATATTTAAAAATTTGTTTTTGTATATGTATGTAAATTGTGTATGTACATTTTGTAGGTATAACTATGGATGGAACAAAAGATATGAATTATGCCAGTATTTTGATAATTATTCAAATACTTAAAAAATTTCTTTGTAAACAACGTTATCAACTTTTTCTGGATCGGGGGCAAAAATATACAAATAAAATTTGGATGTCACACGTGACAGGGCGACGTATAGTTGACCGTGAGAAAAACATTGAACGCTTAGGTTAATTCCAGCAACGTTAAGTGTTTGTCCCTGTGCTTTATTTATAGTCATTGCAAATGCTAATTTAACGGGAAATTGAATACGTTTAAACTTAAAAGGCAAATCTGATTTAAATTCAGAAATCATGAATGGCGTTCTATTATGCGATAGCAATAATAGTTTATACATGAAACTTTTTTGGTGTAGGAACTCTAGTAACAGGATCGACTTGAGGGATATCTATCGAGTATCCATTACCRTATCATTACAAGTATCCTTCACCGTAGGGGAACATTAATGGATATTGAAGACTGTCGTAGGAACGGTGCAATTCAGAAATTATTTGAAGATTGTCATCACGAAATCGCAGTACAATGTCTCTTTTGTCGAATTGTTGTCCTGTAATTATAACGGCTACTTTGCTCGTTGACGACCGCGATGTTCACCATTCGGAACTTTGTTAGAGTGAATTACCAATGTCTGTAACATTAGAAGGAACGCTTTCAATGGCTGTTTTTAAAGACTTTACATGTCTATTATGAGTATTTAACATGWCTTGTAGGGATCTCATTAATACGTTGTCGAGGATCTCTCTTGAATTTATGTTACATCTTGTAGATGCTTGTGTATCAGGATCGGAAATAAAATAAATCTGCAAAAATTTATGGTCATCAGGATGATATGGAAAAAGACTGCCGGCAACGTGGTAAACCTGACCCTGTACTTTAAAGGTATGCATAAACCCTTTATGAACTACCTGGTTGCTTCTGAATGAAGTCATTTGGAAAGCATTGTTGTAATAACGAATATCGCGTGTGAATTGTTTATGTTTTGTGTGACTTCCATTAAGAAGGGAATTCAATGGTTCTGGTGGTATAATTATACCATCTAATTTTACTTTGCCATTAGAGCAACATAAGGTTTTGTATTCATCCTTCCATCTCAGAGCAGAACAAAACTGGCAAACTATTGTAGGATTTCCTATAAAAACTGATGAGTTATTTTTGTAATCCACCGTTGGATAACAATGTTTATGTATTTGCCAGGCGACGCGAGCGCACAATACCTGCCTTGGTTATTAGCAGTATATAATATGTACAATAATAAATCTATATACAGGGTGATTCTTTTATCAAACAACACTTATATGGTGTCTGTGTGTAAATACCACCTAACATACACCTATAACACACAAACACTACCCAACTTTGGGAGGCTATATCTTGTAAACGGATTAACGAAAAATGAAAATTTAAACGTGAAAATTCATTGAAAAATAGCCTTTTTAATTTATGAAATTTTAAGTATAGGTT